TATCAAACTCTTTCTTCTGCTTCCAACTTTTATTCCACTCGGTATAACTTTAACTACGGAACAGGAACAAACTAACTTCAAAATTACCGTCAACTTCCAAATATCTCAGAAAATGGTCTGAGAGTACTTGTTAGCATCTTAAGCTAGAGGTCCACTGGTTATTTTTGTATCGCAACAAGTTGATTATTGCGCTACATTTATTACCGTGCTGTGTTCACGAGTAGGCGAGTTGCCAGCTACTTTTGTATACGCAACATTGTAGCACGGATACATGATACGCGACGCGTGTCCACTAGAATACCTAAGCAGCGCAACAATTTTGTATCTCCACAGACTTTTCCGTACTCGTTTCAGTAGATCACTTTCGGTTTGAAAATGTCGAGAAAACTTGCTGCTGCTCTAATTGTGCTTTCAACTATAAAATAACCAAGACTTGCTAAAAAAAGGAAAATATGCTTGCCCGAGTGGATAACGAGAAGAACTGAACTAAACAATTTATGAAATGATTATGACATGAACATCCGGGATTTTACAAAAATCTTTTACGTGAGTTAACTCTTCGAAGATGGTAAGATCGTTTTCAAAAAACTACAATTCAGAATTAGGACAGAAGTAAATTTGTTACAAGTACATAAGAAGAATGCATTAATAATAATGATTGTGCAATGGTTCCGTCTGAAGAACTGCAGACTCAGCATGTATCCTGGTCATTAGCGGCACAAGACCGTCAGTTAACTGCTCAGTATGTCTGCAGCAGATTTTGATTATACAGAGTGATTCACAACGATATGGGCACAGAGCAGGAGCGTAGTAATAAGAGTAAAGCGGCTGGTTGTGAAAATCTACGGGGTGTTTTCTTTCCTAAAGGCATACCCCCTTTTACCCCCCNAACGAGCTTTTTTGTCGTGCGCCACTGACTTCGACCGAACACATTTTTGCATTTGCTGTTCAACTTCAGAATTTTCTGATCTCTTGCAGTTTTTCCGTTTTCGAGTTATTTGCACAAATATAAGTCCATGTAGGGTTTCTGGGTGATTTTCTATGAATTTTTATATACATTTTTTTGTGTCCTTTTGTCTGGAAGCTTCAAGTGCAAGTTGAAGTTAAAATAAGGATGGCTGACGAGTTAACTTTAAAATTCATTTTTGTTTACTTTAATTTAATTTACAATATTTGAGGTTTTTCAGCTGTAAGCATGACATAAATAACATAGCATGTAGCATAACATAAAAATACACAAAAACGTAACGAATATTTCAATTTATTATGAACTTAATTACTTTCACTAAAAAATGTGAACAAACGGACGCAAAAAAAATATAAGAAAATTTATGGAAAATCACCCAGAAAGACGTCCAGATCATTACCGAAGCACCACCAAAATTTCGCGTTGAAAAGTGGCGTAGATTAGCGCGTAAGTAAGTAATAATTTGCTAAGCCATCTGAACCATCCAAGTTATATTTCTTCTCATCGGACTACACAATGTCGAAAGACAACTAATTCCAGCGACTAATGGTACGGGTCCACTGGATACTTTTGTATCGCAACAAGTCGATTGTTGCACGGCGAGTTGCACGCTACTTGTGGATACGCAACATTGTATCATGTATCCGTGCTACAATAGTTACACGACGCGTGTCCACTAGAGTACTTAAGCAGCGCAAGATAATAAAAGTAAATGCACAAACTACCGTGGAATAACTCTTCTGAATACATGCTATAACCCAGGCAGCATTATTAAATCCATTCGACGTCCATAGGGCAACGGATTTCGAGTAGTCGCATGTCCAATGGATGGCCATAATTTGTCCGATTGCAGTCCAATTGACGTACATTTTTCTATACAAATGTCACAGAATCCTACCTCCGCCGGATGTCCAACGATCTTGGCAAGCAAGGGCATCTAACTGACACGGCATATATTGTCTTTAAAATTATAATTTTGGATTTCCAAAACTTCTGGATGCCCTGATGACATCCAGAAGCTTTGATATCTATCAGAAGCTTAAACTTCGTTATTCCCGTTATAAATTGCAATTTCGATTAGTAAAACAAAAAATGTAGTGCATTTATTCAGTATATATTAAAGATATATACATTTTAAACATATTAGTATACAAAGTGCCCATTTTCTGAATCTTTGTATGGGTAACTTCTATATTTTTAAAGATAGAGAATCCGTTAAATCGGCAAAATTAGGCAGAATTTGATTGCCTATTTATTACCGTTTTCAAAATTTAGGTACCCGACTTGGTTTCTGAAATATCCTGAAAATACAAGAAATAAACACTTTTAATTATCACTTATTA